TTGGAGGTTATGAAAACAATATTGGGTGAAACCAGTTTATTGAGCATATTGATAAAAATAAAATTCCCCAAGAGGAAGTAAGATATTCAAGAGAGAAATCAGTAAACCTAAAGATGACTTATTAACATGCACTTTCATATATAGTATTTATATCTCAACACATTTCATAAATAAGGAAATTTAGGTTCAAGATGTGTGAATTTTTTCAAGGTTATATAACTAGTGTTATTATTCCTTTGGGTTTTTCTTTTTAAGAAAATCTCTAAATTAACTGAACTACTGGATATTTTTCTAATCTATTGTGCATATAAACTGGAAATATAATTGGGCTGAGCTTAAGAGTATGCTGCCTAAATCCATGGGGTTCAACACTAAGTAATATCTAATATATTCATATTAATAGAATACCAGCAAAAAACTAATGGAGTTGCTCTACCTCTATCTCCCATACTTTAGCTAGAGAGAAGTATATAACTACCAGTATGGAACAAGACTCATACATCAAAAATCCTATAGTACAAAAGATATTTACATTGAGCAGAATATGCATGCTCTGCCTCATCTAATGTCATTCAGTAACAGCAAATAATAAAAGAGAAACTACAGCATTCTACATCAGTAAAATTTAGAGATGGTTTAATGAGATTTGTAACAGGCTAAAGTAGTACTATGTTTAGATCCAGCTTAATGGATAAGTGATTCAAGGTGTCCTACAAACAAGTACTGATACTGGATAAAATTTAAATGAGTGACATAAGCAGGTTGAGAGAAAAATAAGAGAATAAAATGAAATGACATTATAAATGAATTCCCATATTGATAAATACAAAAAGCATGCCATCTAGCACTTGCTAGAAGAAATGGCAAGACTGGCTGGGGCTTTCCAGCAGCTAATGCAGAGAAATATCCATTCATAATTAAACCTTGCATAGTCCCGAAGGTAACAATAAATACAATTATTGTGGGGGGAGGGGAAGTGGGAAAGAAGAAACTTGGGAATCCTCTGCACATCTCTCTCAGAAATTCAGACTGAGTATTCAAAATATGAAAAGGCCTTAATAAACATTAATAGATATCTGTGACTTTATACTTAGTCATAGATACAAATTCTTTTCAAACATCCAAATAGTTAGGTCACTAGAAATTTAAATAAGTGAACTCACCCCAACCACAGTCCTTGAACTGAGAAAATAAAAATTAGCTCGGACTGCGATAGTAAAACTTTGCCCTAACATCGATCAAGCTGGAATTCCAGAAACAGCAGCCAGCTGCAAACAGGAAACATTTCTCCCAAGGATATACAGCCGCTATAGAGTGAACAAGATTAGCATAATCCTGATACCAAAGCCAAAGAATAGCGAAGACATGATTAGTCAATTTTTACTACAGATAGGAAGCCAAACAGGACCAAATCTAATTCAGAAAAACAGGGGAAAAAATTCCTCATTCAGGAATGCAATAACCATCCTACATTAGAAGGTGTAGTAATGCATTATACACTACAACTAATTCCAGGTGGCTTAAAGTGCTAACTATAAAAACTGAAGCCTTTTTAAAAACTTTAAAAAGTGAATATTCATGCTATTCATAGAGAAAAAGTTATTGAGAATAATCAGGAAAAAAATCAGTAGATTTGACCATATAGAAATATAACATCAATATTTTAGAGCCAATTTAAAATTGAACACCACAAAAATGACAAAAAAGATTAATAGTTTCTATTAAAAGAATTCTTACACAATAAGAAAACACTAACATCCTAAAAAAATGAGTATGAGTCAAACTGCCAATAGGTGGAAAACAGACAAATGGCTGGAAACTATGTGCAACCTCATTAACAGAGATAAATACTAAAATGAAAGCTGCTTTTCAATCTTAAATTGGCTTTTAAAATGTAATAATAATAATAATAATAATAATAATATTGGAGTGAGATAAGCATTCTCAAACTGCTGGTGTCATACTATTACAATCTTTCTAGAACAAGAAGCTAAAAGCCTTAAAAAAAATGCTCATGCCCTTAATTTGATTTTCCAGGATAAAGAGCCATACAAGAACATTAGTAAAGCCACTTAATTAGGCAACAATGAAAAATGCAATTGAAAGATGTATAGATCTAGGTTAAAATTCAACATTTTAAGTGTAAAATATACTTCTGAAATATGTATAGTAATGAAAGAACTATTCCTACTCCTTGCTGTTAATTTATATATAAAGTGTATTGATAAATATTTGCTGCTCAAGCTAAATATTAATCAGGGGACTGCTACATAGATTAAACATATATCCAAACATGGGCCTGGTGCCATGAAAATGAGGATTTCAATGAACGTTTAAGGACACAGGAAAATGCTCACCATATAATATTGAACTAAGAATACACACATACACACACCATTATGCCAATAAGTGGCTGAATCATCAGAGATGACTTTCCTCCTTGTTTTCCTGTGTTTTTCACGTGAATCTGAAGTGACGCTGTGGTGTTTTTGAGTTACAAAAACAATGGAGAAGGGAGAAAGAAAAACAAACTCACATTTCCTAAATGCCACATTTTCAGTGTAAAAAGACTTCAGAAATGTATGTAGTAATGAAAACACGTTTGAGGTAATCCTATTCATTGCTATTAATCCTACTTCTTGCTGTTAATTCATACTAATAAGTATTTGCTGCCCAAATTAAATATTCAGACCTTTTCAATGCATTTTTTTTAAAGTTCTCATTCTCCAAACTATGCTATGGTAAGCAGCACACTTAACATCTTCTATATGGTGTCAATGTCGTTCATTCATTCAAACATGACTCTTACAAAACCACTTATTAATCCAGGAACCTACAAACAGCTTCATAAAATGAGTATAACCTTACTAAAATGTGTTCACTTTATAAAGCTGCTCGCTCCTATCTGAATGTCAGCCAATCTGTCTATTTGAACATGAGGACCAGGCAAACGCTAAGCCGTTTGGGACGCCTGTCCCAGGGTAACCACAAACCTTAAAGATAGCACCCACCAATACCGTCTTCATATCACCTTCTTTTTAAAATAAGGTGACCAGACGTCCCGCTTCTGGCGGGACAGTCCCGAATTTTAACAAATTTGTCCCGCGGCTTTTAAAAAAGTCCCGATTTTAAAAATCAGGACTTTTTTAAAACGCCACGGGATGCGGGACACATTGAAAAGCGGGATGTCTGGTCACCTTATTTTAAAACCTAGACCCGGGGGTTAAATGTTGACTGCCTGTTACAGCTGCCACGCATGCAAGTTGTAGAACAGATGTGCCTAAAGCGGTACCTTGAGCGCGTCCAGGATCCCTCGCTCCTTGAAGGTCTGGTACAGCTTTCTGCGCAGTTCGTCTTGAGTCAGCACGTCGTATTTGGGGGGCATTGTAGGCTGGAAGAGAAGAGGCTCGGGGTTACCGGGCAGGCAGAGGGATTGGTGACGATGGAACCAGGGCTATCCTTCGGAAAAGCGCCAAAGCCCGGCGGGGATGGCGCTTTCACGCAAACAAACAGGAAGCTTCGTCCTCTCGCCAGCACACCCGGTTAGCACGAATGAAAGCGAACCGGAAGCGCCAGCACGAATGAAAGCGAACCGGAAGCGCCAGCTCCTCACGTGCACACCAGGTTGGCGCCAAAATGAAAATGGAAGCGCCGTCCCATCACGTGCTCAGCCGCTTGGCGCTCAAATGAAAACAAACCGGAAGCACCGGCGCACCTGGTTGGCGCTTTAAAGAAACAGACAGGAAGCTTCGAAGTCGCGCCATCCATGCACGTGACCCGGATGGCGCGTGAATGCAGACAGACAGGAAGCGTCATCCCCCCACGTGCACACGGGGTTGGCGGTTAGCGGGGTTGGCGGTTAGCGTTTGAATTAAAACAGGATGCGTAGGCCCCTCACGTGCGCACGCAGTTGGCGCTTTAAAGAGACAAACACCATGTTTTGTCCCCTCAAGTGCGCAACAATCGGCGCTTTAACGAAACAAGCACGAAGCCTCGTCCCCTCAGCGCACCCATTTGGCATTTTAAAGAAACAAATACGAGGCCTCGTCCCATCGCACGCACCCGGTTGGCGCTTTAAAGAAACAAGTACGGGAGTGAGGGGGCGCAAGGGTATATGTACAAAAATAATAATTTAATAAAAAACATAATAAAAAATAAAATTAAAAATAAAAATAAAATAAACACGAGGCCTCATCCCATCAGCGCACCCGGTTGTCGCTTTAACGAAACACGAGGCCTCGTCCCCTTAGTGCACCGGTCGGTGGGTTGGGTGGCACTTTAACGGAAACAAAAACGAAGCTTCGTCCTCTCGCGCGCACCCGGTCTGTGCTTTAACCAAACCGAAGCCTTGCCCCCTCACCCGCACCTTTAACGAAAACAAACACGAAGCTTCATCCCCTCGTGCGCACCCGGTAGGCGCTTTAACGGAAACAAACACGAAGCGCGCTTTAACGGAAACAAACGGGATGCTTCAACTCACACACGCACCCATCAGCTCTTTAACCAAAAACAAACAAGATGCTTAATCTCCTTACACGCGCGCCCGGTCCGCCTCCGGCGTCGCTTCCCACCAAGCCGGTCCGCCCGTCCCGCCTCCGGGTGGCGACGAGGGGATCCCTACCTTCGGAGCCCAGCCGCTGCGCGGGGCAACCTCTCAAAGCTCTCCCGCCCTCTCCGAACTAAGAACCCCCGGGGATAAACGCATCCCGCCCTTCCCGAACTAAGAACCCGGCGGATAAAGGCACTTCCTCCCCCTCGGGTTGCCATGGGAGGGTGGGGAACGCGAGCGCGACACTCACCGGTGGCCCACGAGTAGCGACATCGGACGAGGAGCCTGGGGAAGCCGCGTCCCTGGAAGCCGGGGCACCACGTGAATCCTCCGCGCCGCTCAGGGCGCGTCCCGCCCTCTCCCGGAGCCCCGCCAGGTCGAGCAACCTGAGTCCCGGAGCTTCAGGAGCGTTACTGCGTCTGCGCCAGCGAGCCCGCGCCTCAACCGCCAGACGCCCCGCCCACTTATCGCGAGAGCGTAGCCTCCGAGTCGCGCGAGGACTGCCCGGCTTCCTTACTGAAGCTTCGGAGCGCGGGTCTCCGGCGGGAGCTCAGTGGATACTTTCTTACGAAGTCCGCGTCTAGACGCAGGTAGGGGATAAAGCGAGGATCGGGGGCGGGGGCGGGGGCGGCCGCTCCGGGGGACATCCGGGCCCCGCGCGATCTGGCTGTTAACCCTGTCTCTCCGTCTAGTTGCGGCCTGGGGCGCCGGACCCAACCCGGTTACCCCCGGCCGGCTGGTCCCGTCGCAGCCCAGGCTTTGCACCCGGCGAGCTCCGCCAGCTCGGGGCTTTGCCTTCTACTAGGTCACTCAGTAATCCAGGGCTTCGTCACCGCGGCACGGTTGCCCTTTGGAGCCCGAAAAGTATTTGTAAGGGTGCTGTCTTGTGCACCGCGGGGTGGTTAGCAACATCCCTGGCCTCTCTGCCCACAAGGGCAGCTCCTCCGCATCAGTTCTGACCATCCTGAAGGTCTCAGGCATTGCCAGATGGCCTTGGGGAGGCCAAAGTCACTGGTTGAAAATCAATGAGCTAAATTTTGATTTTGCATGCTGTGAGAAAGGAAGGTGGACTAAGATGTGCTATAGACTTAAGTAGAGTTTAGGGAAAGAAAAAAAAAGAGTGGAAGATGGAAGCCCCAGAGACATCTCTGTGCAAAAAATGTGACTTCACCTGGGCTTTGATGGGTATGATTTGTATGGTGGCAAAAAGAATAACTACTTGGCACTCGCATAGACAACTGCCCTCCCCCTACCACCACCCATGACAGCGGATAATTAATCACAGCAGTCTTTCCCGCTGACCAGTTCCTGGCAGGCACTACCAGTGATTGGAGCTGGCTCAGGAAAGGAAAGCCAGTTGCCAATCCTAGTCAGCTCCCTTTTCCATTTGACAGCACATCCTCTCTACAGATGAGATCGTGCTTGGACACTGCTTCCCCCCCCACCCCCCAAAAAAAATAGTATTTTCCCTTCCTCAGTTTAAACATCCTCAGTTCCTTCAGTAGCTTTTGTCCCCAGCATTCCCTAGCCTAGATCCCCCCTACCCCCCCTACACACAGTTATTGATTCATTTAAAATGCAATTCCCAGTGAGTGCCCGGCTAGCTCAGTCGGTAGAGCATGAGACTCTTAAAATGCAATTCCCAGAACTGAGTACTTCCCCAGAGATGATATTATTTATGAAGACATTGTCTTCTCTCAGTGCAGCTTGGAATTGCATTAGCTTTTTGTGACCCCTGTTTCAGACTGCTGCCTCTTATTGAGTTTGCGATAAATGAAAATGGCTTCTTCTAGATGCACTGCTCTTAAGCTAGGTTTCCTCAGCCTGTTGTACAGTTCATTTTTTCAAGCCCGAGTACAGGACTTTATGTTGCATCCTATTAAATTCTGCTTTGTTTATTTCACACCTAGTTCTCTTAGCTGTGGAGATATTTTTGAATTTGGACTTTGGCCTTCTAATACGTTCGTTGCCCTTAACATGTCATCTTTGAATGTGATAAGGTGGCTTCATCTCACAATTATTGTTCGAATGTTGAGCTGGACGAGGTTAAGGCCAACTTCAAAGGTCTGCCGGAGACCCCTTGCTGTGTACTGACTGGGAGCACTTTAACATTCTAGTCAGCTATGAGTTGTGACCCTTAGTCAACATATAAGGAGTGTTTTCTGGGCCCCGGCACTGTTATAGCTCTGGGGATAGAGCTAAAACAGTTGTTTTTAGGTGTATACCAAACTATGACCAGACCGTGTTATCATCCAAGCTACAGGCCTAGTTGTTTTTAGGTGTATGCCAAACTATTTCCCAAAATGATTTACTGCCTCCTGATTTCCCTTCCAAAACATAAAATTTAAGCTTGGCATGACTTGTTCTCAGTATGACCAGGAGTACATGAATGAATAATAGCCTACTCTTTCTGTGTTGGGATCCACATTAACTAATGTACAATAAAATCTAGTATAGTGTCTGACCAAAGGCAGCCATTTAATACATATTTCTACTTTGAAAATACCCACTTATAGATTAGGAGATAAGCCTTTTTGTTTTTGAAAATAGGAATAACACTTACCTATGTCTGATGGTATGGCTCTTTCCTATTCCTGTGACTTCTCAAATGTCCCTGATCACTAGATATATAATCACATTTGTTATTCCAAGATATGTAGTTTGCTGAGAACTGGATACTTGTCTACGGCCATACCAACCTGAACGCGCCCGATCTCATCTGATCTCGGAAGCTAAGCAGGGTCGGGCCTGGTTAGTAGTTAGATGGGAGAACAGGATACTTGTATTTATTGAAATGTCTAGAGTGTTTAATATTCCCATCTGGAGGTTCATAGCGTGCCTAACCTTGATTCTCCCACACTTGCTGTTTGAAAACCATTCTTTTTGAGAAAATTGAAGTTCAGCAGATCTGCATCCTCTTTGTATGCCAGTTGCTTGAAGCAGGTGACCTCTCTCCCCTGCTTTTTCCCCCGGTTGTAGCCTAAAAAGGCTTTGTTTTTCTTAATGCAGTCCACACATTTCTGCTCATGTGGGCTTTTGCCTTTCTGATGCCAGCCTCAAGGTTTCTGGTCGCGGGTCCCATTTCTGCGTTCATTACTACCCTGTTTCCCCGAAAATAAGACAGTGTCTTCTATAAATTTTTGCTCCCAAAGATGCGCTAGGTCTTATTTTCAGGGGATGTCTTATTTTTCCATGAAGAAGAATACGGTACACATTTATTGTTAAATGAAAATAAAGGAAATTTATTACCTGTATATGGTACAGTAGTACGGTAGTAGTCAACACAAACCAGACAAACTGAGAATCCTACAGTGTCAAGAATTTACTCATTTATTCAATGACAATCATGTCATCATCTTCTGGAACATTATAACAATCCAATTCCTGAATTTCTTGGTGAATTTCTTGTGACTCATTTCTTTCAGAATCAGTGGACCAAATCTCTCATGTTTAGCCTAGGGGGGCCTTATTTTCGGGGGGGATGCCTTATATTTCACTCAGAAGGAAACCTGAAAGTAGGTCTTATTTTCGGAGGATGTCTTATTTTCGGGGAAACACGGTAGTTAGTGCCCACTTCTTATGTACACGCCCCTTTTGAGTGTACATAAGGTAAGGAGCACCACCTTGATTTCCACAGCTGTCTCCCAAAAGCAGCTCGTCACCCTAGCAACCACAGGCTGCTGCTGTCCTCCCCACAGCGCAGTCCTGCCTCCCCTACCTTCAGGCACAGGCCCTGCCCCTTGTCATGAGGATTGCTTTAGGGAAGGATCTGCACAGCTTCTCACAAAGGTGCTGTTAATTAATGGCCTGAACTCAGGCTCCCACTCTCAGGCCTCTGAGGCTCCCCTTCCTCCCCACCCCACAGGCCTCAGCTGGGCTAGTTAACACCACCCTGCCCCCCACTCCAGCACACCCGCTCCCCTATTCTTAGGGTCATCTCACACCGTAAACTGTAGCCCCCCGCCCTTGCCTCGCAGCTCCATCCTGCAAACAGTGAGTGCTTATCATATACTAGGCTCGGTGTCTGGGATTCAGGCTGGAAAAACACAGTCCCTGTTCTTTTCCACGCTCTCTCCCCATAGTGCCCTAAGTAGCTCCATCTTGACGCACCATTGCCCCAGACCCATGGTCGGCAAACTCATTCGTCCACAGAGCCAAATATCAGCAGCACAATGGTTGAAATTTCTTTGGAGAGCCACATTTTTTAAACTTAAACTTCTTCTAACGCCACTTCTTCAAAACAGACTCGCCCAGGCCGCGGTATTTTGTGAAAGAGCCACACTCAAGGGGCCCAAGAGCCGCATGTGGCTCGTGAGCCGCAGTTTGCCGACCACGGCCCCAGACGAACCTTTCCAACAATGCTTTGCTACCCAGGTGCCGTGGTAAATGAACTCCCTCTGTCCCAGCTCTCTTTACAGAATGCACTTTTACCGTTTCGCTGACGCTTCCTTGAATATTTCCTTTTTTCTTTGACATGTGTGTTAGTTTCCCACTGCTGCCCTAACAAACAAACTCCCACAGATCCAGTGGCTGGAAACAACACAAACACATTACATCACAGCTCTCAGCATAGAAGACGGACAGGGGTCTCGCTGGGCTGCAATCCAGGTGTCAAGATACTGCATTTCCTTCCGGAGGCTCTTGGGGAGACTGTCCCTCTGCCCTTCCCAGCTTCTGGATGCCACCCTATTCTGTGACTGGCGACCTCTTCCTCCGTCTAAAGCCAGGCCTGTAGTCACGTGTCCCCCTACCTTCCTCTCGTGCCTCCTCCCTTTTATAGCCCCTTGTGCCCGCAGTGGGCCCACCTGGGCAGTCAGGATCCTCTCCTAGCTTAAGGTCACCTGCTGAGCAACCCAGTTCCATCTGGAGCCTTATTTCCCCTGTCCCTGTAAATGAGCATTCATTCACCGGTTCCCAAAATTAGGTTGTGGCCATATGGGAGGGAGTGTTGGAGGGCTATTCTGGCTACCACTCCATGCTCAGAATTGACATGTTTTCATCCGTCTTCCTTCCCTCCTTTTTCTCGGTGAATAGCATCCCATCCTGATCCTCTGCTTGTTCGCCTCAGCCAAACCTTTGGAGACAGCCTCAGTTCTCCCACTGAGTCCATTGCCAAGTTCTGTGTAGCTCCCGCCCCCACTGCCCGAGGCCTAGGCTCCCTGGCACAAGCTCGAAGGGCCACTATTTCAGGTGGTGGCAAAGCTGAGCAGGCACACACAACGCACACAGACACGGCTGTTGCTTTCTTTGTATTGTTTGTGTTCCACATTGGAGTTTAAGTCATACTTCATGGGTGCAGGGAAGGTGGAAGAGATCCTGGAATTTAAAAAAAAAAAAAAAGTTTGCAATCATTAATCTAGAGCAGTGGTCGGCAAACTCATCAGTCAAGAGCCAAAGATCAACAGGACAACGACTGAAATTTCTTTGGAGAGCCACATTTTTTAAACTTAAACTTCTTCTAACGCCTCTTCTTCAGAATAGACTCGCCCAGGCCGTGGTATTTTGTGGAAGAGCCACATTCAAGGGGCCCAAGAGCCGCATGTGGCTTGCCAGCCGCAGTTTGCCGACCGTGGGTCTAGAGCTACACTGATCCAATACAGTAGCCATGAACCACATGTCACTGTTTAATCAATTAAAATTAAATAAAATTTCAAATTCAGTTCTGCAGACACGAACCACATTTCAAATGCTCCTTAGTCTCCAGTGGCTACTGCATCACACAGCACAGGCACAGAACATGTCCATTCTCCAGAAAGTTCCCTATATAGGACAGCACAGAGTTCTAGAGTCTCCCCTTTGCCCACTCCCCCAGCACAGCAAGGCCTCTGATAGTAAATGACTGTAGATATTCCCTTCCTGAGGCTGTGGTTGTATGGCTTCTTTCCTTCCCATTCACGCACCGTTCAGTTTTTCCTTGTCGGGACTGGACAGTTACTCCCCTTCCCAGGTGTTGGTAAAATGGAATTCTCCGCAGCCCAAGTTCTGCTCAGCTGTGCAGTTTGTGAGACAGCCTTTCTGCGGTATTTCCTTCCGTTTCCTTTTTGTTTATCCTCACTCGGTACTTAGCACTCTGCTCCTCTCCCAGTCATGGGTATCCATATGGGGGGGAAGGATTCTGCAGGTGGTTATCTTCCATTCTACGTATACTAGTAGCCCTGCGCACGAATTGTGCACGAGTAGCTTGCTGTGTGCCTCAGGGAGCCTCAGGGCCCACAGCAGCTCATAGCTCTCTGACACCCACAGCTCACTGCCCTATGCTCCTGTAGCTCCACCCACTGTCCCGCCCTCCTGTAGCTCTCCACCCACTGCCCCGCCCTGCCCTGGTAGCCTGCTGCCTTGCTGCCCCACCCTCCTGCTGTTTGGTCTTTATGCATCAGCATCATGGTGTAATGACCATTTGCATATTACCTCTTTACTGTATAGGATTGTCTTCTGCTGCTGCTGCTTACATGTGCATTGGGGGAGGTGTCTGTCTCCTTTGCTCTCTCTGCTGCTTAAATATTTGTGCTGAAGACAGTAAGCCCTTCCCTTGGCAAACTCCAGCTAGGAAACCTGCTCCAGCAAAAATGAAGAATGCCATTGTGGACTTGGTTAAAATTTCAAGCTGCCATCCCTCTCCGCCTCCCTTTCTCTTGAGAATTCTGGCCAATCCTATTTTGCACAGCTTTTATATCATTCCTGCTCAGTTTTACTATTTAGGCCTCCTCCTCATTTCCCCTAATACAGGGACCTTTTTTTTCTGTAAAGCACAGGTGACCTCTGTCACAACTGCTGAACTCTGCCATGTCGGGCAGAAGCGGCCTTTGAGCAGAGTGAGACGGATGAGGCCAGATTTGGCCTGTGGGCTGTAGTGGAACAACCCCTGCCCCGAATAATATTTTAAATCCGACTTACTTCACCATGCCACGAGTCTCCTGTCTGCACTTTCTTCCACACATGGCCTTCCAGTTCCAAGAGTACATGTGCCAGCTGTAGCCTGGTTTCCTTTACAAAAAGCATTGCATTTGTTAGGAAATACATTGTGGATTTCTTTGGCTTTTGTTGCATGTTTTGTTTTTGTTTTTTAAATATATCTTATTGTTTACAGAGAGGAAGGAAGAGGAAGAGAAAGTTAGAAACATCGATGAGAGAGAAATATCAATCAGCCGCCTCCTGCACACTCCCCACCGGAGATGTGCCCGCAACCAAGGTACATGGCCCTTGACCAGAATTGAACCCGGGACCCTTCAGTCCGCAGGCTGATGCTCTATCCACTGAGCCACACCGGTTTTGGCTGCATGTTCTGAGTGAATCAGCAGGAGTCCCTGTAAGGCTTGACGTATCCCGGGCTCTGGCACACCTCGGTAGTACTCTCCCCAGGCCTGTACACTCCCAGGTACCCATTTTGGGTTGTCAGTATTGAGGACTAAAAATGCGTCTTCTTTTCATTCCATTAGGAGCCATATATTGGAGACAATGTCTGGAAGCTTCTACTTCGTGATTGTCGGCCACCATGACAACCCAGTGTTTGAAATGGAGTTTCTGCCACCCGGAAAAGCAGAATCCAAAGTGCGTATGGAACCCTAACAGACCCCATGAGAACTGTCATGCTGTTGTAATGATAATAGTCAATGTAGCTCTCCCTCACCGCCACCTTAGCGCCAGCTTACCTATGTTGCTGTCCTTGATCCACAACCTCTTCGGTATTTTTTCCTGGCTTCCTCTAAAAGGATGCATGCTTCTTGAAAGGAGGATCTATTTGTTTTCCAACAGTATTTTTCCCATGTGCTTAAAAGGTTACAGAAATTGGTAACTTGCTGCTTGCAAAATCAAAATCATTTTAGTTTCTTGAACACATTTTAATATATTATAATTAATATATTATAATCGGCTATTTCTACTTATTGAGTTTTAGATACCAAATTTAAAAGTATCTCAGTTGGCATGGCTCAGTGGTTGAGCGTCAACCTATGAACTATGAGGTCACGGTTTGATTCCTGGTCAGGGCACATGCCCGGTGGCAGCCAATCAATGATTCTCATCATTGATCTCTCTCTCTCTCTCTCTCTCTTTCCTTTTCTCTCTGAAATCAATACAAATATATTTTTTTAGAAAAAGAAAGTGTCCCCCCTCAAGAAGAACTATGTGTAGGATTATAGAGAGAAATGTTGGCTTTCTTGACGCTGTATGGAAATGTTAACCTGGTGCTCACACTGTCATCTAGGACGACCATCGTCATCTAAACCAGTTCATAGCTCATGCTGCCCTTGACCTGGTGGATGAGAATATGTGGCTGTCAAACAACATGTACTTGAAAACTGTGGACAAGTTCAATGAGTGGTTCGTCTCAGCATTTGTTACTGCGGGTCATATCCTTACCTTCTTAATAAAGACACCTAACTAAAGCTTGGGGTCACAAACTAGAACTGAGGACACACAGATGGCCGGATAAGTCGATGCACTTTAAAGGTCAGGTGAAAATTGCCATTTATGTAGCTACTTCTATTTTTTTTTTTTTTTCAGGGAAGAAGTACATTTTGTTTAGCATCATTTTAAAACCAAGTCTTGTATATAAAACTTAGGTTTATCTGGGTCAAGGGTGGTTTGACTTTATTTTTTAACTTTAAAAGATTATGTTCTCTTTAAGATAAAAACTAAGCTAACTTTTAACTGACTGCTTTACATTTCTAAGAAAGATTACACCTTAATTATTTCACATATGAGATTTATTATGCTTCATGACGTAAGACAAGAAGATGGGATAAAGAACTTCTTTACTGATGTCTATGAACTATACATCAAGGTATGTATGTTCTAGAACTTCTTAAATCTGATAAACGGGATCCAAACCCTAGCAGGGAACTGTCCTTGTAGTAGTTTTCGTCTCAGAGCAGCTCTCCCTCAGTCAGACTCTCCCTGGCAGTCCCTCATCAGGCAACTCTTCACCAGGTTAACTATTTAGGAAAAGAACTCATGGTTATTTTGTTGTTGTTGTTAATCCTAATCCAAAGATATTTTCCCATTGATTTTCTTTTTTAGAGAGAGTGGAAGGGAGGGGAGAGACAGAGACACATCAATTGGTTGCCTCCCACACAAGTCCCACCAGGGCTGGGAATAGAGCCTGCAATTCAGTCACATACCCTTGACCGGAATCGAACCCATGACCCTTCAGTCCATAGGCTGATGCTCTGAGAAACACCGGCCAGAGCTTTTGGTTATTTTAAAATCTTCATTCTCCTCCCTTTGGTGCATATAGTTGATTTTACTAGGGAACCCTAAAGAGAGGGAAGGAAGTATTCTCCATAAGAGAAACTGCTTTATAATTTCAGTCTAAAATGCTTTCCATCTACTGTAGAAATAAGTTACAGTGCAGTGAATACCGATCATAAACCAGCAGGAAGTGATTCATATATCATCAACTAACCCAGGGAGCTTGGTGCCACCCGCATTTCCTGACACATAATTGGAAAAAATAAAATAGGACATCGGTAGTTAAACTGCAGTACTGAAAACAGTATTTCTTACTAATTTAAATATTCTGTAATGAACAGATTTTTGCATATTGCCACAGCAAACAATATTCCTAGTCAGCACTAGCAAGAATATCTAGTCCTTTTATAAAGGTAGACAAAGTAATTAAGGTGTAAAAATTGCTAATTCCTCTACTCATTAGTGGTTCCATTTGTCATTAATAATTTTCTCTGACGCCCTTTTTGGCTCAGTGGATGGAGCGTTGGCCTGCAGATTGGAGGGGGAGGGGAGGTCCCAGGTTCGATTCCAGTCAAGGGCATGTGCCTTGGTTGCAGTAGGGGATGTGCAGGAGGCGGCTGATCAATGTTTCTCATTGATGTTTCTGACTCTGTCCCTCTCTTTCCTCTCTGTAAAAAGTCAATAAAATATATTTAAAAAATAATATTTTCTGACCTGTTATAATACATTTGTTGCACTATCTGAGAAACTGGTCACTTAGCCTTGTGTTAAAGGAGAGTATTAAAATCTGATTATTTAAAAATTGCCACACAAGAATAATTTTTAGTCAGTGTGGTATAACTTTTTCTTAACTTAGAGACCCATGATATGGCCCATTTTTCATTTATATTTTATGTAAGTCTTACAGATTAATCCATATGTTCACAAGGAATGTAAGGAGATTAGTAATTCACACACGGTGACTCCTGAGTTAATGATGCTTCATAGGCAACACTTATCATACTGCCATCAGTTTCACCACAGGTCCTGCTCAAAACCAAAGCACCAAGAAATGTCCTTACGGGGAAGTTACTATTTAACCATAGAGCATTTTTATGGAAACTTAAAAATGTGATCTTCTGACTCTTGTTTTGAATGTCTTTGATGATTTATTTTTATTTTATTTTTTTAAATATATTTTATTGATTTTTTACATAGAGGAAGGGAGAGAGATAGCTAGAAACGTCGATGAGAGAGAAACATTGACCAGCTGCCTCTTGCACACCCCCCACCAGGGATGTGCCCACAACCAATGTACATGCCCTTGACCGGAATCGAACCCGGGACCTTTCAGTCCGCAGACCGATGCTCTACTGCTGAGCCAAACCGGTTTCGGCTCTTTGATGATTTAATTTAAAACTCAAAATAATTTAGAGACCCATGATCTGTCAGCCTTTTTACTCTGGCAAACTCACTAATGTTTTCTTCTTTCCTAGTTTGCAATGAATCCGTTTTACGAACCCAATTCTCCTATTCGATCCAGTGCATTTGACAGGAAAGTTCAGTTTCTCGGGAAGAAACACCTCTTAAGCTAAACACAGAAAACTTTGGAAATAAACAGTGTCTCTGCAATGGATTATACTCAGGAATGTGGGCGTTGTAAGTTACTTGATTAAATAGCCTGGAAAAGTTTTTGTATCCATTTATCTAAACTTAGTAAAATTCCTTATAGTTACAAATAGTGCATTCAGTTTCTTAGAATTATCAATAGATTAATATTTGCTTCTGAACAGTTATTTATAAGGATTTCTGTATCGATAGCCTTGAAATATCTTTGGAAATCTCAGAATAGGCTTTTGGCTTTCCTCGTTCATATAACCAAATGTCATTGTCAAGATTTGGTAGTCAGATTTAAACCTAAAGCATCTGCAGTGAGGAATGGAGTTGGTAGGACATACATGGGCTTCCCCATACATCTAGAGATGCTATACGAATGTATAGGCACTGTGCATAGCCCGACGCAAGAAGCTGAAGTGGGCAGCGTTTGCAGTGCCCAGTGCCACGTACCTGCCCACTGTCCGATCCGGGCCGGTGATCCTACTGTCATTCATTCCGAAATCCAGATCCATGTCTGCAAAATGGGGAGTGGGGCCCAAAGTGCCAGGTTGTGTTAGTTCTTTTATTCCCTTTCCCTTAGTACACTAAGATTGAATGAACCTGTTGATAGCCTTGTTAATAAAAAGCTGGAAGACGATTTTAGGGTTGTAAACCCAGAAAAACCTGTATTACGTTAACGTGTGCCCTCCTGGCCTTTGAGGCTGTGCACCGGAGGGGGCAGGAGGGGGCTGTTTTACTGTAAGGGGTGGAGTCCTTACTGTAACGAGATGTCAATCGAAAAGCAAGTAATATAAAGACACTTGTTCCGTGCTTCTTGGGCGCACTTGAAGACTTTTGTTCCGTTCTGAATAACTTGAGCAAGTAATTTGAAGTGTGATCTTTTATGTGTGTGTAAAGTTGCTACTATGATTTTTTACCCTATTTATTTGAGTTACTAAATAAAGATGTTTGTCCAAGATTGTGGGAATTTCATATTGAATTTTCTAAGTGCTGCTCACCCTGCCACCAATACCATTTTCGTTTTATTTTGAAAGTCTGCAAACTAGTTTATCTACTAACCCATTTTACAGAACCGGGATGGTCTCAAGTTAGGGGCCAGAGCTTTGGGAGCAGAAAAAGATACTCGGCTAGAAATCTAGGAGGCATTTCAGCCATGCTCATCGGAGAGACCCAAACACGTATTGTTTTACGTAGTTTGCTCTGCCCTCGATGACCAGGTAGCACAGAGGGCTGTGACACCAGGGGCCGGAGCAGCAGCAGGGAGTTCTAGGGTAGAGACCAGCGGGTCCTGGCCGGGCCACACCACAGCAGTTCCCTGCAGTCAGCGGCCCTTTTCTCTGGTCCTGGAGGGAGGGACAGGAATATGTAGCAAGAGCCCTGCATGAGTACCTTACTGTGATTAAGTACCAAGTTTCATGTAGGCCTGCATCTTTGAAGGCGCTCTAAGGCGAGTCCAGTGCTGAGCACAGGAGCTGGTGGGTGGGCTGCATAGGAAAGCATGCTGCGCACACATGTGTGTGGGGGGGGGGAGCAGCCCTGGGCACGGGGATCGGACAGAACCAGGACTGGCGAGTTGGTCAAGCATAGACCTGGTAGTAGGTGATGTTACTGAAGGTTCTGGAATACCAGAGCAGTGGAGGGACATCAGTAGCACCCTGGGCATTTGCCAGGGCTCATGCTTCCCCACGGGCGTCAGGCTCCACTGAGCACTGGTGTTAAATGTGTAATCATTACTTCCAAAGAGATCCAAATAAAATGCACCAATCTGGTTTTGTCTTTTGTTTCCTGAAAGGCTGCACAGTTGCCCCACTGGCCACGAATGCAGAGACCACTGATCCGTGCTCTGCCCGATACACCCATGTTCTTTTTCTCCAGTCACAACAGGACCTCGCCATTGTGACTGGAGAAACATCAGAACCCACGGGTCCATTTTCCTACTTCACACAGCTCTGTTCCACAAGCCACTGGTGTGTGAGAACTGGCGTCAGGGTCATAGGACAGTTATAGAAACACAAAGCAGGGTTTTCTTTAACTTCAACTAGGGAATTTTTCACCAGAGTGAAGAAGGTGATAAAACTGGAGGAATTATAGCCCATTGATGAGGTACCTTTCCAGCTTCCTGAAATGGTTCTCGTTGGTCAAAAGTACATTTGTCCATTCTCTGAGGTCACTAGCTGGTCTTTAACACTGAACTTGGTCTATACGTTCACAGTTCACAGCGTGGAAACGGTCTCAGATGGCCCGAACGCTGAGTGGCAAACACAGAGCTGTAACAGGCCCCTCCCCGAACCAGTTCTGCTCGCTTTGGGGGCCCGCAGCTATTGCCACCACTCCCTTATCACCTGCTTTGATCCCCAATTCTTGTTTTTCCCATATTTTTCATCTTTGTATAGGTAAGGCCAGTCCATTAAAGCGTCTTTTTTTCTTCTTCAAAAGAATCAGATTTTCATTTCAGCGACCTTTTGCCGCTGGTTCAAGAGCTTTTCCATCAGTTAGCTGTATGTAGTTAACTGAAGGACAAAGCTATGTAGTCAGGTTTTGTTCTTAATCACACTCCAGTACCATGTTTGGCATATTAGCCTTGTTCCCCAGATTCCCTTTAAGTCGTGGTGTGAAGGATTCCTCTCCTGTTCACATGAAGACCTGTTCCTTTGATCATTTTAGCTCAACACTAGACCTCTAGAATGCCAACTAATTTTATCCTTAAATATTTATCTGAAAATGCAGTATTTGAAAAGATGCTTAAAAGCTTAAAAATACACTAGGGTATTAAATCTGTACAAGTATCAAAATTACACATTTTGTAAATGGGCCAAATTGTTCCCCTTCCCCCCAAATTCATGTCAAAGTCCTAGGCCCCACACACCCCCTCAGAATGTGGCTGTATTTGGAGATGGGGCCTTCAGAGAGGTGATTTAAGTTAAAATGAGCCTGTTTGGGTGGGCCTGATCCAATCTGGTGTCCTTAGAAGAGGAAGTTTGGATAGAGATGGAAGGGGGGTGGTGACAACATGGGGAAAGGTCATTGGCAAGCCATGGGGAGACCTCAGGAGGAACTAAACCTCCCCACACCCTGACCTGGGACTCTAGCCTCCAGCACTGAGAAAAGAAATTCCCATTGTGGAAGCCATACAATCCGCATTTTATGATGACAGCCTAGCAAACTAATACAATATGCTTTCCTTATGCACTAAATGTCTAGGTCAGGAGTGGGGAACTCTTGGCCCGTGGGCCATAGCAAAATCATTTGGTCTGGCCTTACTAAGGAATTAGGGGTGAGTTAATGAAATATTTGACCAAATACAGCGGGCTAATTTTTAAGTTGATAGCTGTGTGTGGCCCATGAATAATGCTATAAATATTTAAGTGGCCCTTGACAGAAAATAGGTTCCCCATCCCTGATCTAGATGGACACACACCAAAAAACACATGTGGCTGCCACCAGGGACAGGAAATAGGTGGAAAGGTAGATATGTCCCTTGTCCCTAGGATCTTAGCCGTGTGATTCCTAGAATGCTTCACTGTTGCCCCCACTTTTCAAGTATGCAGAGAAATTGACCAAAGTGTGGGAGATTCATGTATGCAGAAAAATTGACCAAGGTGTGCGAAACTAGCACTTTCATGCACTACTGCTCCATATCTATCAAGAGAGAAGGATTTGAATAGGTATTAGATATCCATATGGCAAATAAATGAGAGGGGTCTACTATAATGTAAATATGCCCAGACATTAAGAGAAAAAGGGCAAGTCACAAAACAATGGGTACACTTTTAAAAAACAAAAGCAAGCCCAGCTGGTGTGGCTTAGTGATTGAACATCAACCTATGAACCTGGAGGTCAGGGTTTGATTCCTGGTCAGGACACATGCCCAGGTTGCAAGGTCGATCCTCAGTGTGGGGCGTGCAGGAGGCAGCTGATCCATGATTCTCATCATTGATGTTTCTACCTCTCTTGATCTCTCTTTTCCTCTCTGAAACCAGTAAAAAAAAATGTTTTTTGGATGGAGGATTGGTGGTGGTGTTTTTTTTCCGGGAGGAAATGGGGAGTGATTATAAATAATAAAAACTAGAATTTCTGCCAACCTGGGAATATGAAGAGATTTAATTTTCCCAAATTAAAAATGTTACAACATTTTCCTTACAGCCAAATTGTTATGTTAGGAAATAAGACTTTCAAAAGCTTAGCTTGCTGTAATGGTACTCATTTTCAGTGGTTTCGAAGGAGTAGAGGCAGGGAAAGAAATATAGCCATTCAGTTTCTCAAAACATACCCCTGCCCCAAGCATGTCCTTTGATAACCCGCTGGTCCACGGCCAGGGTTCCATCTTCATTTACATAGGGTCTGGGCACTGGTTTGTCTCTGGAGGATGGAATCTGCATGAAGCTGCAGCATATGAGCTTTACCCACAAAAGGCCACAGTTTGTTTTATCAGGAAGTCTGGTCATTGCGGCAAGATGAGAAATCTAGAGCAAATCACTAGACAATGTTCAGTGAAGGAGAAGGCACTAAATACACGGCCAAATAAAGATGTCTTCCCTTACCCTCAAACAAGGTACAATCCTTCACATTTTCTCTAAGAATAGTGATCAGGTTGGCTTCTGGGGGTGAGGGGGCAGCGAACATGTGACACACAAATGACGAGCAGTTACTGGGGAGACCAAGAGATCAATTCCATTATGTAGAATGAAAAGGTGAACACTTCGATAATTTGAAAGAGAATGTAGAAATAAATCACTGCGGCACAGATGCACTCAATTTTAACTTTTAATAACTAACATTACTGTAGGAAACTTCCCCCCCGAACCAGGAATAGATGCTAATTACATAAAAATATACATATATAAAAAGTTGTTCTCCATTTTCCCAGGAAAAGAACAATTTCTAGGATATTCAAGTGTTTTGTTTTAATCACAAAGTCAGAGTCTTGGTCATCGCATTTATTAGCGCGGTAACTTACATGTTTAAATTAAATGTTATTAGACAACCGTTACAACTTGTAAATGTAAGATGCCATTGCTGAGTAAATAAGATTCTTCCGAGTGAATGAATGTGTCCCTTCTCCCACCCACATATGGAGCAGCAATATGGTTAGTTTCATTTTAGGAGTATATGATCTATTGCTGCAAATGCTAGTTCTCCTCTCCCCATGTTTATTCGTGTGTGTGTGTGTGTGTGTGTGTGTGAGAGAGAGAGAGAGAGAGAGAGAGAGAGAGAGAGAGAGAGAGAGAGAGAGAGAGAGAGATGATTAAACCTCTCTCATCGGGATCAACAGCAAGAGGAGCTGGTTTTGGGCTTGCGGTGCAGACTGACGGTGTCGGTCTGAATCAGGTGATCCGACCTATCCTCGGTGGCAAGCACTCTCCGAACCGCTTCCTCAAAGGCCGCTGCCACGTTGGTGGCATCTTTCGCGCTTGTCTCGAAGTAAGGGTAGTCGCCGTTGTCCCTGCACCAGGCTTGGGCTTCTTCCGCAGACACCTGCCGATCGTTTATGTCGATCTTGTTACCCAGGATGACAAAAGGAAAGCTTTCGGGCTCTTTAACATCGGCGTAATATATGAATTCTTTCTTCCAGTTATTCAAGTTCTGGAAGCTTTGAGAATCATCGACACTGAACGTGAGCAGGCAACAGTCAGAACCCCTGTAAAAGGGTGTCCGCAGGCTTCGGAATCTCTCCTGGCCAGCCGTGTCCCAGATCTGCATGGTCACATAGTGTCCATCTACCTCCAGCTCTTTATTTAGAAACTCCACACCGATGGTATGGAAGAGCTGGGTATCGAACTTATTAGTCACATATCTGTTCATCAGAGAGCTCTTCCCAACTCCGCCATCTCCCAGGAGGATGACTTTAAAGAGTGATGACTTTCCTGCCATTATTAGTCTCAAGATCTCTGACTTCAGAACCCTGTAAAATAAGAAGGTACCATTACATTCCTTCAGACCTGTGCCCTGCTCTACGCG